GGATAGTGCTAGCAGAAGCAGCCAAGACAGCTGTTGACACAGAAAAACTGACAAAAGCATGCATGCCTTTTCTCAGTAGCAATGGTGACCCAGTCCCCACTGTCTATTGGGGAAACTACCCCAGCACAACAGAGACTTTGGCCTAGAGCAAGCTCCTAAAGGAACTGCAGCTCAGCAGGGTTGTGGCTACAGGGATACATGGGGCCTCTTGCTGAGACTTGGGTAGGGAAAGGTGGACTCCTTACCTGTTTGCTTTTATCTTGGATATTTGTGGAGAATTTGCATGTAAAAGGAGCAAAAGGAGTGCAAGATGATATCACCAGGCTGTGCAGCAACAGACTTAACGAGAAAGACTTGTGTAATAATATGTGGAGGGGAGAGTGCCTATTTTATCTTGGTCACCTGATTAAGGACTTCTTAACTGTAAAAGGGAATAACGAATAAAAGGAGAAGTAACAAACTGATGCATAAACCCAGTCACAAGCAAGGAATAACGACAAGGACCAGAAGACTCCAGTTGCTAACTGATGGATGTTACAGCTAGAAAGATCAGTGCAGTAGAAAGACAATACAAAAGCAAAACAACAAAAGTGACAAAAAGGAAAGAATGCTTACCTGCCTCAGATAATCAGCCTCATAGAGAAAAACTCTATAAGGGAGAGATCTTCAACCAGAGATCCTTCCACAATGGCAGTCAGCCCTTAAATGAGGTCTAAGACAGGTGCAGCCAGGCTCCACCTATACTGGTCACACAGCTGAATTGCCTTCACCTGTGCTCCCAGGGCTGACCCAGTTCTTTCCCCAGGTGATCAAATTAGTGGTTCAGGCCGTGACTCAACAGTTCTCATACAATGGACCATCAAGAAACTGCAGGTACAGTTTTGGAGAGAACTAATTTGTACCTTGTAACTGGTAACAAGGGGAAACAAGAGGACCATAAGAATTTGGGATATTTGGGTAGGCTGTAAGACTACGCAAAACTTTTGAAGGAATGTTTTTGATGAGTGGGATGGGGAGGAACAAAGCAAGGGTAGAATGGGACCACTCATTTATAAAATGTGTTTGTCAGACTGATTTTGAATATTTTTATTACCTTCATAAGACTATCCAAATAAGCAGTCATCAGGATGATATAAAAAAGCTGTGTAACATTGTTAACCGATGAAGAACCATTGCTTTAATAACTATTAATGTCATTTACTGATAATTAAAAAGTCTAAAATAGAAAATATAACACATTAATTATGGTGCTAAGAAATAATGAAACTTTTTAACTGATACAACCTAATAGGTAAGTCTATTCTAGTTTAACTAGATTAACTAGTGGAGGTTTAGAAAGTATGGAATATATGCGTGTCATTTACTCTGTGCCATTGGGAATCATTCCTTCAGAGAGTGACAATAATGCAAGCTCACTCTCAGAACATGGAGTCTGCACAATTATATTTAGGTAAAGAACTTGCCAAATGAATCAGCGTAAATTCCAAAAGCATTATTTCTTTGGCTGCAACTGTTTTTCTCTATTAAAACAAACAAACAAAAAATAAAAAAGAAAAAAAAATCAGTTTTCCAGATAATATTAAAAATCATTAAGACATACAAGTAATCTTTAATTATTCTGAACCAGGTCCTTATTAATACACAAATAACTTTGTTTCATTTCAGTTATTTGCCAGTCTACTAACCCAGACTACAATGCTCTTATTTGCCAGGCAGCATCTTGTACAACACCTTGAATAGTCCTAAATTTATCTGACTGCACCATTCCAACTATATTTTGACTTAAATTATACCATTGACTGTGTTAACCAACCACAATTCAAAGATTTTTGATTTTTTTGTTCTTTCCCTCTCAATTTAGAAAATGATGTGACTAAGCTGGAGAGAAAACTCTCTTTAGTAACTGTTTTTTCCTTTATTGTGCATCTCCAAAAATACCACAAACCTGTTTTATTTGTATAGCCAGGGTGAGAGGCAAGTATTCTGGCAGACAGCAGGGAGTGAAAATTAAAGTATAATAAAAGTAAACACAAATCTTGCTTAAGACAGCTCACTATAGCTCTAGAAGTGCAAATTATATGCTTTTATTGATGAATTATTCTCTTGGAGCTTCAAACAATATCAAATCACTATTGCAACAAGCAGAAGAACAAACTGAAATTCAGGTGTGAAAACCACTCAGCTGAAGTGTAACAACTGTTAATGATGAATAAATCACTTCAAAGTGTCTTTATTTTTTTTTTTTTTTTTTTTTTAAAGATTTCACTATAAATGATAAAGGCAGAAAAAAAAAAAATGTTATTTTTGTAAATATACACAAAGACCACCAGAGGTCTCTATAATAAAAAAGAATGTAAAAATGTAATGTTAAAAAATATTCTCCCTAAACCTACCAGAAACAAAGAGGTAAACAAAAAACTATTGAATAATTTAAATAGTTATGAAAACTAAAGCCATGTAGAAAAGTGAAATATTAATACAGGTTAAACAAATCCTGTTGGCAGTGTCAACCATTTGTTTATTAACACCATCAAAATCAAGATTTTAATTCAGGTTCTACTTCATGTTGCAGTTTACAAATGTATTCATGACAAGCATTCAAGAAAAGGAACATATGCAGTTGTCTGTTCTTCACATTAGACAATAAATTATTTCACTACAAAATAGTCATTATTTTGAAATGAATTCAAATTAATGATAACCATATTAGTGATTCAGTTACTTTTTTGAAACAGACTAAGACCAGAGTTGAAGTGGTACAAACTCACTATCTTAGATACTTAGATATCTTAGATACTACGTATCAGTGAAACTTATTTCTCTAATGGAAGAAATAAACAAAGTTACCAAAGGCAAGAGTGGACAACCTGCCCAGTCTAAAAATGATACAGCAGCTGAAAAGCTCTGACAAAGCAACCTTTATTAAGCCAAGCAGAAAAATTTATCTTGTCTTTGTTGAACCTACTGATTAGATTCAAAAAAGAAGTATCCAGGAGGACTGTTAAATCTTCCCACAGAGCTGGAGCCTCTGAAACCTTGTTTGTGAACATGTCTTTTTAATTTCTAGTAGTTCATGGATTGCTGACCTCCCAACAATATTCTCTGTGCTTTTTGTTGCTGCTGCTGCTTTTTTTTTTTTTTTTTCATCCCTCCTGCTCAGTTTATTTTCCAAGTCATTCCTTTTCTTGTCTAGTTATCTTTCTTACACTGAGTTCCAGTGAGTTAAGTAAAAAACAAACAGTAATTTATTAATCCTATTTTTTTTTTTAAATGAAATGTTAACAGTAGATATAATAAACAGAAGAAAACTTTGAATTTTCTTGAAACCTTGAAAACACCTATCATTATCCTATTTCTTTTGTATTTTGTGCATTTTCCCATGATGCTTTGACACTTGCCTTCACATTCTAGGGAACAAACCTGCACTATAGATTGTGTAAGTGCAGCGTTGTGTGTGGGGGTGTAATAAATTTAGATATAAAAAAGAAAATATAGTGACTCCTTAAATCTTAATCTAGTTCTAGAACAGCATAGCTGATCACCTAAGACAAAATTTAGCTCTCAAATGCAAAAGTCAGAGAAATGATATTCCATTACTTGCAGAGAGAATAAACTTCAAAGATGACAAATAGGATTTAAGGATGTGCGAATAGTTTTCATCAGTGCTATACCAAACTATACAAAGTGTTTTTCTCAGTGAAACTGTGAACTGTCTGAATAAGGGAATAGGATTATGCCAATTTAAAGTTATCTGGCTAGTCTCATTTTCTCCTGTATGGATTTTATTTTATTTTATTTTATTTTATTTTATTTTATTTTATTTTGCTGAAGGATTGATGAGATAAAATGTTTTCATTGTCTCGGTCTAGACAGCAGCTAGATTAGGATCAAGACAGATGTCAGTTCTCATCTGGTCAGGCATATGCTGTCAGTGCTTAGCTAATACCAGTATACAAAAAGTGAAATGCTGTGGAACAGAAGTTCTACATATTCTGTGAATAATTCTCAGTTTACTCATTACAGATGTTAGCAACTCATTAGTTGTCCCACTACCTTCATAAAAATAAAATATGAAACAGTCTTATTAAGGTGCATAATGCTGCATAATTTTTCAGACAAACTCAGTAAGAAAAAGATAAGTCTATTACAGGCCAGAGTCAGATAACTTAAATTTTAATGTGAGCTGTGACATATGTTCTCAGGTCTTGACCTATCTCTCTGCTAATAAACCAATGACCCAGAAGCTGGCCTAACCAAAGGGCTGGACAATTCGGCAGATAATTTGATAAGGTGCTAAGCACAAAAACTATTAGATGAAATAGAGATACTGAACACCCAGTTTGTTTATGGCTAGCGTATATGTATTTATATATATGTATTTCTATTTGTATCTGGCTGACACACACAAGCCCATAAGTGAGGCAACTGGAATATTTGTTCCTTGCTTGTAGATCTCTCCACTAGATAAAGTGACTTGAAGACTAAAGTCAGAGGAAACAGTATATCCTTCTCCTCCTCAAAACATCAAACATTTGCTCGTACAGATTAGGGAACTCCAATATGGAGGAGAAAGGCAAAACTGAAAGGGAAGATATCAGAAGTATCAGAAGCCCTCTGGGTCTCCCAGTCCCAGCCCTACTGCAGCAGGGCCACCCAGAGCAGGGTGCCCAGGCCCCTTCTGGAGACCTCCAAGGAGGAGACCCCACAGCCTCTGGGCAGCCTGTGCCAGTGCTCTGTCACCTGCATAGCACAGAAGTGCTGCCTGCTGTTCATAGGGAACTTCCTGTGCTCCAGTTTATACCCATGGCTCTTGTGCTGGCACTGGGAACCACTAAGAAGAGGCTTGCTGTTGTCTATAAACCCACAGGTGTTTGGATATAGTAATAAATTTCCCCAGTGTGTTTCTAAGTAAGGCAAAATATTTCCAGATGGACAAACTTGCTTTCAAATACTCTCTCTCTCTTTTTTTTTTTTTTTTTTTTTTTTTTTTTTTTTTTCTTAGCTGGATTACTTGCTTTTCCAGGATCTGCAAATCTGCACTGACAGCAAGCCAGCAGAGGATGGGAAAAGAGGAGAACGATAAAATTGATATTAGAATGAGCCTGTGTTTTTCATAAACGTGATGGAGGGTTGCTGACATAACAGTAAGTGGTAGAGTATGGGATCCTACCCATCAAAGAGCTCTGGATGGTACAGATATGTTGAAATTCACATTTCAAGGAACAGGAACTTTGTTTTTACTCAATCAGAGCACCTGGAGCCGCTGGGACATCACGGTGCCAGTCAGAAGGCTCTCCTGAGTGCTGTCCAGCTCGGCAGTGAACATCCTCACAAACAGTCAGAAGCTTTCCATCTGCGACTGAATGCAGAAACCTGGAGGCATCTACAAGACCGGGAAGAGCCCTAGCCCTTTGTGTTCCCATAGGAGCTACTGGAACGCGGCGACTTCCTCGGGAAACGTAGGAACGAGCTCTACCGAAGCAGCGGGCGCACACCAAGCTGCACCCAGGCATGATGCCAGGATTCCCTCTTCTTCTTCCGCCGCCCAAGGGCGGCTCTCCAGAGCCCTGAAAGATACAGAGATGCAGACATCAGCCGCCCCGGGTCACCGTTATTCCTATGGCAGACGCCGCACCACGCTGCCTGCCCATGCGCAGTGAGGGAAGGTCGGCACGGCGCCGTGCCGTTTCCCCTTCCGGCCGTACCCGGTCTTCTGTCAACATGGCAGCGCTGGGCGGGTGGCGGCCACGGTGTCTGTGGGCGGCAGGTAACAGCCGTGCGGGATGCGGCCGGTGGGAGGACCTGGGGAGAGCGGCGGGCCCTGGGACGGGAGAAGGGCCGAGGGGTGGCGGGCAGTGCCGTGGCGTGAGGAGGCGGCGGGGACGGTGCGGGCACGGGAAGCCGCGGCGGGGGTGAAGGGAGGTGAGGGCTGGGAGAGGAACCCGGGTAGCGCAAAGGACTCTAGAGCGGGCACCCCCAGTCCGGCTGGGGGTCACTTACGGTTCTTCTCACCCAGCAGTGGTTGCGCTGGCGTTGGCATCAGAGGCGGCTTTTGTGGAGGATCTGGATGAATCGTAAGTACTGGGTGTGACTTGCAGTGTTAATTAGAAATCACTCTGTTTTTTGTGTCAGGACAAGGAAAGTGTGTGTGTGGGGGGGGGGGGGGGGGGGGGGGGGAGTTCCCAGGCTAACAGCTCTGTGCAGTCTAAGGCGTCCAGAAGGTTACTCAGGAAAAGTAACCTCCTCTTAGAAGCAACGATAGTAATTCTGGGGCTTTGTATTTATTAGGTGCCATCGACTAAGCTGGGGAGTGTTTTATTCCTGTTTTGAGCTGTCTTCACAGGACCTGTTTTCAAAAGTGTTCTCAGACTTTATTTTCTTTCTCTTTTTTTGGTGGAATAAAGACATCGGTAGGCTGATAGCCACCCTGAGTTAAAGCTGGTTGTGTTCAACTAAATTCTTCATTTTTCTCTGCTGCGTAACTGCAACAAGAAGTTGGAAGAGAAAGTGCATTGATGCCTGGCCAGAAAGGGAAGAGTAATAAGGCAGGCTTGCTGGACTGGTTCATGACTGGTTTGTGGAGTGCTGCTTATGTTCCTGCGTAAAAATATGCTTTTACAGCAAGTTTAGCCTTAGTTCCCTGGTGGTGTTGAAATGCATAGACCTGGTTTAAACTTAATTATGTACTAACTTTACTTGCCTTACTGTGGTAGTTCTGTGGCAGTGTACTCAGAGGTGGTGGAGTCACTGTCCCTGGAGGTGTTCACAAAACATGTGAATGTGGCACTGAGGGACATGGTTAGTGGGCATGGTGGGGATGGGCTGATGGTTGGACTAGTCAGTCTTGGAGGTCTTTTTCCAACCTTAATGATTCTGCTTGTAGTTCTCTCTAAAAACTGACTTTCTACAAGTGGATGTAACTTTCTTTTGTTAGATCCACAAGTTGATCTGAACTACTGTAAGGCAGCACAACTATTAGAATTGAAATAGAAAGTATAGAAAATACTTTCTGAGAAGACTAGGAGGAAGAGAATATATTACATAGCTGTTTCCTGATCAATTTAAGTTAGTCACAGACTGTGTGTTTATGAGGGTTCAGTGCATAATGGCTTCCTTCATGTAGTTGAGCAGTCAGAAAGCTACTTTTTTTTTTTTTAACATACTGCTGATTCATCTGGAGCAGTTAATCATAGGATCAAATGAGAGTAGTGAATTAATGGAGTAGGAAATGGGAACGTATTGAAAGGGTATCAAAGAGAGATACCTCAGCATCTCTTCATTGTGTTTAAAGTGCTGTTAAAGATCAGCTGAAGCACAGTAACTGCTTGGAGTTGATTTTCAAAGCTGGTTTGTGATCCATGCCTCGTATTTTCAGAGGCTGAAGATAAACAGTTTGCAGGAATAAAATAATGTGCATCTATGCATCCATATCATGTTCCCATATCGTGTTTCTTCAGGTGTAATTTTAAATGTAATTGTTGTTTGGAGTGAAGAACAGTTCTGTAGTCATGCAACTTTTGTGGAATAGCTGATAACTGAAAATCCAGTTTTAGAATGCTTTGCTTTTTCAGCTATGTAACTATATGAGTTTCTGTATTTGCAGTTGGAAATGGGAATTAAGTTGTGACTTGTTCAGGGCAGTCTTTTCTTTTTAGCTGCTTGGCAAACAGTGAAAAAAAATAATAGGAAAAAAAGGTTGGGAGCAGTGACTGATAAAAGCTTCTAGTTTCCCACTTTACAGATACATAAATGTTATGGAGTTCTTGCTGATAATGAAAACTTGTTTATTGCTGATTTTAATTTTTTAATTTTTATTTTTGCAGTTGCAAACAATGCCTGTTAGCACAAGGTGCAAGTCCCTTTCCCAGGTTTTTAGTATAGAAGAAAGCAAGTAGCAGGGAATAACTAACAGAGATGTGAGTTACTCAGCATCACCTGACTGGGCCATTGAATGCATGCAAACTAAGAGCTATATTTCCTGTCAGTTTCTTCTGACCTTAACTAGTGCCTACCTCAGATCAGTTGCTCATCTTGCACTTTGAAGGGTTGTTCCAATGTGATAATGAAACAGGTCTGTAGCCTTACTCAAAGTTAAGTATTTTTTCTATCTGTACAGATGCTGTAGGAGCTCAGCCCAGGATCGGAAATGGTGTAAGGAGATTGAGAAGGGAAAGGGAGGAGTGGAAGCAGCAGCTTCCATTTTAAGTGGAAGCTTAAAAAGCTTAAAGCTTCCGCTTTAAGTCCTTTGGAATCAAGTCCTTTGTCTTTAGTTTGATTTCATGCTGATTTCTTTTTACAGTAAATAATTCAATGGGTATGTGTATTAAGTGGAGATTGAGGTAGTACTTGATCGCAGAGTGTAAAGTGTTGAGAGGTTATATGTTTTTGAGACAAATCATTTTAGTCAAGGAGATGAGATTCCTGTATCATCTTTCCACCAGTGTGACTGTGCCTGTGTCTACTGACAGAAGAGGGCTGCGCAGGGTAGTTAACAAAAAGCGCTGGCATTTTACTTTTGGAAATGTGTTTGCAGGAACTAGAAACAGCACCTTCAAGAAAATGCTGAAATACCTGTTTGTACGGATACCTCTGTTTTTCTCCAGCTGTGTGGTTAGCTTCTTTAATAAAGTCTAATAATTTAATCATTAACAAAACATAATTGTGTGAACTCAAACTTGTTTAGGTAATGTTAAGGTTAGAGTTGATAATTTAACTAAATAGATGCCTTTAAATGAGTTGTACAGTTTATGCTACAGTTTTAACAGTAATAAAGTTTCTCTTACAATATATTAGGCCCATTGAATGTGTTGTCAAAATTATAAAATTCAATTGGAATACACAGTCTTCAGGTATTTCCTTTCTGTCATTCCTTTTCTTACTGTATGCCATCAGGTAAGACTTCAGCTTACCTTCCTAAAATCTTTAATGTTCTGCGTAATCTCCTATTAAAGTACCATTCCTTGGAATGCAGTCATATGTGACAGGGTGGAGAAAAACTCCTTATCAACAAAACAAAGGTGATATTCTAAATATGTGTGTTGCTCCAAAAATAATTCCTACTATTTATTTCCACGGAAACTACAACAGATATAAAAGCAAACAGCTAAGACTGTTTGGTGGAGCAAATTCTGAGCTACAAAACGCTGTTTTTCAACATAGTCACAACTGTTAATTGATTTGTATAGATGAACTGATAGAGATGTTCTTCATTTCAGGGTAGCAGTGTGGGAACTGTTGATCACAGCCTGAACCTCTGATTGACCACCTAAGGCAAAACAATGAGTCAGCTGCGGGAGCATAGGTGAAGGCAATTCACCTGTGCTACCGGAGGGGTGGAGCCTGGCTCCAACTCTCCTATATCCCATTTAAGGGCTGACTGCCACGGAGGAAGGATCTCTTTCTGGAGATCACTCCTTGTGGAGTTTATTGCGAGCCTACAACACTGGTGAGCATTTTCCATTTATTGTCTTTTCACCACGATAATCCTACTTAGCCTTACCTCTGTACACCTATTTATTGTACACTGTGCATGGCCATCCAAAACGTAGCTTGTCTTTAACTGTGTTGTCATCATTGCTGAAATGCACCACTCAGCATCTCACCATGCTCAGATCCACTGTTTGGTCTCCATTAACATTCAGTAAGCGTTAATGAATATCAAAGAGTGCCATTTTTTCCATGTGGAGGAATTCAGTTCCACACCTTTGTTTCATATGCACTTCCATGTCAGACACCATTCTGTCAGTCTGCCTCTCTGCTGTCATCTGTTACACAGCAACAAAATGTAACGGAACACTGATGAGAAGGTTCAGCCTTCTCTGCTGTTGTATCACCAACACTTGCCTCTGATGTTGTAGACCGATGTAATAAAATAGGCATTACTTTTGGTGCAGCCCTCATACAAATGCAGCCCAGTATCTGATGATTCAGTAGCTGCTTTCTACTTTTTGCATCATGACTAATTATTTGTTGTGGGAATTTAGCTAGAGCTTCATTAGAGTTCTCATGAGATGCTAGGCTCCCTGTAGTTCTTTTGCTAGCTCTGCATGTTTTTCGTGAGGTGATATATTTAAGCAATTGTGACTTAAGAACTGTTTTCCTGAAGTTGTTAGTTATGTTAGTCACTAACCATATGTTTTTTGAGGGTCCAATTAACCACTGAAATTCTGTAGTTAAAAGTTTAAAACATTCAGCTCTAATTTCTCCCAGATGTAGTCACTTTCATGAAAGCTCGTATCTTTATTAAAGGAAACAACCTTACATGAAGATTGCGGTTTATTTCATTTTCAACGTAAGAATAGTTAAGTAATAAGATAATTTCCATGATTTTGTTGTAGTGACAACTGTGTGTTAAAATATATTGGTACTCTTGAAAAGTTATTTATATATTTTTTAAACAGTGTGTTCTATTTTATTTCTATATTTTTATGCTTTTCATGACAAGTTTACGGCTAAAAGTAATCACTTCATAGGGATGTCATTGCTCTAACTTTGAAAGTATTTAATAGGACCATGACTTCTAATATTTTATTTGCAAATCATCTGTCTTCCAGTAAGTTTTTGTTTTGTGTAACTTGTGTAAAAAGATGAACAGATCCCCATGTAGTGGAGCAGATGAATGAGAGAGGTAGAACTTTGAAGGAAGTTGAACAAAAATTGCCTTGCATGTTAACATAAGGTTAATTTAGTCAGTTTACATTCAGTAAAGCTAGGATAAACAATGTAAACCAGTGCTATAGGAAGATGACTACTATGTATTCTGAACAGTTATCAGCATGCAGTGTTTAGTATAATACCTGGAGAATACTTTTCTCCCTTGGATTACACATCACAATCAAATAGATTTGTGGAATTTTGGTATGCTTTCTAGGTTCTGTGTGGATTGGCTGTTTATTGTTTGTTATTTTGGCCTTGGCAAATGGCTGTAGAAATATAAATGATAAAGATTATGCATGTAGTATCATGAGCTGGAATTATTTAACGAAAAATAACTTTGTTCCTCCACCTCCCCTTCTCTTCTCCAAAAGAGAAACAAAACAGCTATCTAGTATCTGTAGTTTTTAATCTAATTATAGACTTTTACAGATATATTAATTTTATTTTTTTTTCCCTCCTAGGTTTAAAGAAAACCGTAAAGATGATATTTGGCTTGTAGATGTGAGTATAGAAGGAAAAATAGGAAGAATTGCCCATTATTTGACAGTGGAACTCAAAACAGAAAATGTACATTATTATGATCACTAGTGGGGCTGCTTCATCATTTGGAAAAACATTTGTATGTGACACAGAGAAGTTACATGACTAGTTCTTTCAATAGGATGGATAATCAATTGTCCTCCATTTTCAGTATGAACCACAATTTAGACTGAGTACTGAATACAGGCAATGTTCAACCTATATTTTACAGCCCTTAAAAATGGAAAGCAGATTATCTAACACTTACAATGAAGGGGTTATAACTTGCATGCAGAATTTTTTACAATTCTATCGACTAATTTTTGCGAGACGTTTAGCATCAAATATATGAAATGGTCCATTCTTTCCAATATATTTGGAAAGAAATGTGATACTTTTCAGTAGGGAAAACAATAAATGCAGTTTCAAGATGGATATTATCTTCATGCACATCGCTAATCTAACTTTGTCAGCTTGCAACATGATCATGTTTCTAAAACATTGGAATCTTCTCTGTTAATTTTACTGAGGCATTATAGCAAGATAGGCAGGAAAGTAAAATGAAGTTTCACATTTCTGATCTTGATAAAAAATGGAATTGATTTTAGACTGTTTGTATGGAAGTAGTTTCTTGAAAAACTGGGATACAGAGAACAGCTTTAGAAGTATGTGCGCGTGTGTGTATATATATATGCATACACACATACAATCTCCTTTTCAAAGAATAATATATATATTTTTGCAAAGTAAATTTATATTCCTGGATAGATTGATTATATGCTTTCACTTTCAAAAAAGAAAAAACAACAGAAAAACAACAAAAGTACTTCAAGAGGTTTTTAAGATGTTGCTACACAGCCTGTTTGGGGGGAATAATAGTATAATAGTGCTACAATTGAGTACATTCTTTTATAACTCCTGCTTTCATATTAAATTAGTATCAAATCTTAGAAGATCAGTTTATCACTCCATCTTTCTAAGTAACTGTCAGGTTTGTTTTCATACAACTTGAAGAAGAACAGAGTTGGGAAATAAACCTTACTAATGTATCTGACTTTTTATTTAATTCAATGTGTTTGTATCTTCTTAGTTTTATGCACCATGGTGTGGCCACTGCAAGAAATTAGAGCCTGTGTGGAATGAAGTGGGTATAGAAATGAAAAACATGGGCTCCCCAGTGAGAGTTGGAAAGATGGATGCAACTTCCTTTTCTAGTAAGTACGGTTTGATTGGAGATAATTTCCTAATGGCTTCAAAACAGAAGCTGTTCTTTCTTTGTTTTCATTAGTCATTCTACTGTTCTATAAGAAATTCATGTAAAAACAGTTGCTGGGAAACAATCTCCTGATTTTTTTTTTTTTATTCTGAAAGTGACAACATGCTGTGTGTACTTTTTTATTGTACTTACTGCTGGTTGTGTGGGGATTTTTTAGCAAATGAAAGGTGAAAGCTTTTAGCGTATGTCCCTTTTGATATGCTTCTTAGAATACCTTTATACAAGTGTTTCTGAGTAGTGCTTCTCTTGACAACATCCGATTTAACCACATTTTATGTTTCCTGTATTGCTGTTGGACAAGTGTTTGTGTTCTTGCTGTTACTCTTTTTAGGTAATTACTCCTTGAAATGTTAAACCAAAAACCAACTGCAATCACTGAAGTCGTTATGTTAATGTTGAGCCAATTTCTCCCCATGTTTCTCTGTAAATGTATTCTTGAAGAATCAATTTGAGCTATATTAATGCTTTCATTTTTGATGATGCCTTTTGTATGTACTGACCCTAGAGCTTTTTCAGGAATAGAAACATACAAAATTTGAGGTGTTCAGAGCAGTGGTTTTGAGAGACATGAGAGACTTTTTGTGTGTTTAATACTATTGTCTTAGTTTTAGTGTGTTTGTCTATTGTTATTGTTATTTCACTTAAATCTGTAAGGGAAGGCATAGGAAACTGTAGGGTCCACGTGATGCCTGTATGCAATTAAGACCAAGTATTCAGGACTGTTATATTTGCATAACATTTTAAGCAGAGTTTCTTCAGTGATAATTGAGTTTCTTCATACTTAATATAGCAGTGGGGCACATATATGTGGCAGGAAAGAATATGGAGGTTGTATGAAACTGGTTTTGGGTTTCTAATAGGAAGATGAAGCAACATGAAAAGTCTGAATTTATGATAGCTTGCCATCAGAATGTTTTGATGGAAACTATACAGAGCATCTAATAAATTCAGTGGTTATACTAACAGAACTGTTACCTGGTGTATCAGTTGAATTTTTGTGCAAGTTTGCCTTAAAGCCCACTGAATGTGATTAAAGCAGAAATAAATTGCACTTAGTGCTAGCATAATTGCTGCTATTTGCCTGTACAGTATTCTTTGTATCAACAAGTGACACTGGTCCTGTAGATAAATCACTTGAGAGGATTTCAGTAATCTCCATGGATGGGATGTTTTTAAAAACAAAACAGAAAAACAACCTGCCTATTCTGCAGTTTTCTTGAACGTTCTGAACAGTTTTGCGAGAAGAAATAAACTGTCTAGTGATAGTCCTTGTGATTGAACATATTAGCACACATCTTAACAGATTCTAGTTTTTAATAAATATAAGAGGAAAGTATCAAAGTTGAAGTGAGCATAGACCACTTTTTTTTAGATCAGTCTGCTCTGAGTGAGATGCTCGTATGTGAGCTGCTAGTTCTGTTGGCAGCTCTGTATGATTCGTGTTGACCTGAACATGAGTCACACATTCTAAATGGTTATTCAGAGCCCTGCGCTCAGTCCTCCTACATGCGCTACTGTGGCATGTGGTTGGTAGCTTCAGAATGTTCATGTATTAAAACCTTTTGGTGCATTTTTAGCTCTTCTTTTCTTCCCCACCCTCTCAGGGAACTGTAGAGGCATCAAAAGTTTAGACTTATTCTAGATTTTTCTTCTTTTCTTTAAGGAGTATTTATTTTAACTTCTGGAAAACACTAAATTATCTTGAAGGTATTGCTAAGGTGGCAGTTGCTACGTTCACAACTGTAAAGGATGTCCCAAATATCAAGACGCAGCCTTTTGAGCAAACGTGAGGTAGGGTGGGATGGATGGATGTTTACAACCCTACATCCATGATGCTTAATTCTTACCTCAAATATTTCCAGCTGGTTCTATGTATGATTCACATTAAATGCATAATACCTTATAGTGAAAATTGACCAAACATTTATATTTAGAGGATTTTCATGCCATTTTACTTCTGACATCTAAATCAGGAGCCTCTGCATTTATTTATGTGCCTTGAATAGGAAACTGCTTAAACCTTAAGGTGGGCAAGTGAACAAGACTTGGTTCAGTTTGGCATTAATGCATATATTTCAGGTATTGCATCTGAATTCGGAGTGCGAGGCTATCCAACAATTAAGCTGTAAGTTGATGTTTCTCACTGAATTATTTTGAACTCGATCTTTCCCAACATTTATTTGATAAGTGTAAAAGGTAGTTTTCCATTTTAAAAAACAACAAACCAAACAGAAAACATTATCTGAATTGTTTAAAAAAAATAGTGTAGTAATTTTGGAATTCATTTTGCCGCTGTTTTATATGCAACTTTAAAAGTGTGTGTATGCATTTATATGAAATACAGAAAGGAATTTCATGTACTAACTGCTCTGAAGTCTTGAGAGTGATCCAGACAGTAACTGTATACCTAAGTCTTTCCATTAACTTCTCTAAGCTATTAATTTTGCTTTCTTATTTTCAATTGCCCTTCTCTACAGTGATTTTTCCTGAAAATCTTCTCTAAGTTATTGGGTTACTGTAGAGGTTAAAGTGTGAGAGCAGTTGTTTGACAATGGGTGCACATGTAGCTTTAGTTCTTGCATCGCTAACTGAAAAATTAATGGAGGTTAACATTTATTTAAGAAAAAAAAATCCAAGCTGTAATAGTATAATACATACTCTTAAGGTATATAGGTATATAAGGTATATATATGCATAGTCCAATACAAAGTCATATTAAATAGTAATGTTGATCACTTTTCATTGGTTATATAGGGGTTGTTCACAGTGTATGCTTGTTTAAGTATTAGATTCACTATATATATTAAATTTTTAAACTACGTTTCTCAAAAATGACTCAAATATTGAGATATTGTTAGGGATGATAAATTTATTGTCATATAGAGGCATAGAAAGCTGTTTTATTATTACTTCTTCACATGGGCTTCCTAAACTTACTTAGATTCAAAGGAAGCCTGTTACAACGTAGTAAACCTTAATTAAATACACATGTGCTGGGAAGTACAATAAATTGACAAGCACTTTGTGGAATCTTTAATGCATACATTCAGAAAGTTTTACAAATCATCTGCTACTTCTCAATTACTAAGAAGAAGGAAAAAAGACACTTTGGATTTGTTTTAGCTGTTTTGAGTTTATAAGCAAATATTCCTTGCAACTTCTGTATTTATGATTGCTACACACTAGAAAAAATCATAAAATGGTAATTGTTTTTAAATGTTATTATTAGATATTGTATAAATAAGTTTTTACTCCATAAATACATTGTATTGCGTTACTGATTTTTTTCTATTTTTGCTAATTGCTTGTTGATGAATATTTTAAAAATAATTTTGATTATAATTTGCGAACAAGTGACTAGTAAAAGCTTGAGTAATTCTGCATATGTGGATAAAACTTATTTGATTTTAATTTTGTTCTTCAGAATCTGTGGCTTCTTAATGTGAGCTAATTCTTGGCTGTTTTTTCTTGCCTTTCCCATTTATCCAGCTTAAAAGGTGACTTGGCATACAACTATAGAGGACCTAGGACCAAAGATGATATAATTGAATTCGCTAATAGAGTAGCAGGGTAAGTATACAATTCTGTGAGACTGCTTCTGACCTAATATTTCCATAATATTTTGTGCTGGGCCAAAAATGCAACTGATTAAAAAATGATAAAAATACCTTGACTTTAAAAATTATATGCAATGTGCATGTTATATGCAATGCCTGTGAAGTTGGTGGTGAGTGACATGGAGAAGACAAATAGGAACTGACTAGTCACACTTACAATTCTTTATCATGCAAGATCTATGGCTTTTCAAAGTTGTGGAAACTATGGACAAACAAAATTCATAGGAGCTATAGACAAAAATATTGACATAAATGTGGATTAATATATGAATACTGTTATGAAGACAATCTGTTTAATACTCCAAGTTTCCTTAATCTGTAAAATATGTGCTTGTGTATCAGCAAAGGTGTGGCAGTTAGCAATGTGATGAAATTATTTCTACAGAAGTGTTCACAAGTTTTTCTGATGTTCACAATTTCTTCTTTCCTTCTGGTGGCCCATGGCCTCCAAACCTTCGAGTAGGAAGGAAATGACACTTCTTCCTCTCATCCTTAGATACAATTAAGTGATTTTCATATAGACATATAATACTAATTGTATGAAATTGTTGATAATTCTGTAGTGTAGGAGTGTCAGTGATCTAATAGCTTACTAAAATTTTTAAAGAATATTTCTAAAACCACATCATCTACCTGCTGTACTTCAATTCAGAAATTTTTCTCTCAAATGATTGTATAGCTGGTAAGTGGCTTGAATATTAACATCATAGCAACATAGAATCATAGAATTACTCAGGTTGGAAGGGACCTCAAGGATCAAGTCCAACCACAGCCTAACCATAGTACCCTAACTTTAACAACCCTCTGCTAAATCGTATCTCCGAGCACCACATCCAAATGGCTCTTAAACATATCCAGGGACTGTGACTCCAGCACCTCCCTGGGGAGCCTATTCCAATGTTTAACCACCCTTTCTGTATAGAAGTATTTGTTCTAAGATGCTAATCTAAAATGTAAGTGTATTATTTATAATTAATAATTTATTTTTTATTATTATAATAATATAATAATTTTTATAATTTTCTGATAGAAATTGAAAAACTGGATAAATTTGGATTGAGGAATTTCAGAAACAAAACTACCTGTATGGCATTTTCTTTGGGATTTCTACTTGTGATTTGACAGATTGCAGAAACTAAGGTTTTTCTTTCTTCTTTCTTTTTTTCCAGACCTCTTATCAGGCCACTTCCTAGCCAGCATATGTTTGAGCATGTGCAAAAGAGGCATCGTGTATTTTTTGTATATGTTGGTGGGGAATCTCCTTTAAAGGTTTGAAACTAGATTAAATTTATTTTAAAAGATATTTCTTTTGACTCTCCACAGACACACTGTAAAATAACTTTTAGAAAGTTCAAAGACTGGAAGTGATTTTATAATCTTGTGTCCTACCCCTATTTCTTGATGAGTCTTTTGAAGATACGGTATGTTGCAGAACTTTGAAGCATCCTAGAGGCTGAACCATTAAAAAAAAAATTGTTTGTATTTTTGCAGGAAAAATACATTGAAGTTGCTTCAGAACTAATTGTTTATACATACTTTTTTTCTGCCTCAGAAGATGTGCTACCTGAGGTAAGCTGTTCGGTTCCTATGTCCATAAAAATGTTCTTCTTTTGTTATTTTGGTGGCATAGAAATGGCTTCCTGCAATACATCTGTCTTTGATAGGTTTCAAATAATTTCACTGTAAAGTTTTGAGTCTACATGCTTTGTGTTAACAAAATGACTTGCTCAGTAATATTAATAAACTGATTAAATATGTTAATAAAATTAGACATGTTCAGCCCACACTGAATTCTGCATAACCAGCTCAAGAATATGCATGCATTCATTTTTACCCATTGCAAAGCTCTTGTTGCTCCTGAAAAACTTTTCACCAGCCACTTTTGGAATTAGTTCATGTGTTTATAGCATGGGATACCATAGTATTGGAAGCTTCAGTGGAAAGATAAGTTCTTTCCAGCTTGTGTGATACAGCTGGTCAGTACTCTGTCCACGTATCAACCAGCCAAGTCTGCTGGCTACAGAATCCTGCTGTACTGTCTCTTGGATGTGGGAGAGATGTTATATGATAGAAAGGAAGTCATTTGTATTTAATCAAAAAGGCGAAAAGTTTCTAAATATTGTTGCTTAACTGTTGAAGTGACATCACTCTTATAAGGAAAGGCAGAAGAAGATGGGTCTCTTTAGTTTGGAGGAGACTGAGGAGTGACCTCATTAATGTTTATAAATACGTAAAGGGTGAATGTCACAAGGATGGAGCCAGGCTCTTCTTAGTGACATCCAGTGATAGAATAAGGGGCAATGGGTGCAAGCTGGAACACAGGAGGTTCCACATAAATATGAAAAAAAAAACACTTCTTTACAGTGAAGGTGACAAAACACTGGAACATGGCTGCCCAGAGGGACTCTTTCTCTAGAGACATTCAAAACCTGTCTGGATGCGTTCCCGTATGACCTGATCTAGATGTTCCTGTTCTAGCAAGGAAATTGGACTAGATGGTCTTTCAAGGTCCCTTCCAATCCCTGATATTCTGTGATCAGTAGTCCTTTTCATTTCTAGTTATCTCCAAATAGGAACTGAGGCTGCTGAGTCTGACAACATATGACCTTGAAGTTCGTTCAGAATTAGCAGTGTGAGAACTAGTATATGTATTTATTTTTTTTTTAGATATCTACATATTCAAAAATGATGAGAAGTAGAATCGACTTCATTATGAATAGGATATTGTTAGATTTCCAGGAGCCTTTTATCAAAAAGTACTTCCATATGAATATTTTGGTTTACAGTTTAGCTGCTACTGACCAAGAATGTAAAAGATTGGAACTCTTTCTGATGTAAGCAGTCAACTGTTCTTTCTACCCAATGTAATTTGCCACAAATGTTACATCATTGTAACTGTAGTAGTGACTGTACACTGTTTCTTTCCAGAGTAGCAAAAATGTTATGAAGTGACTGGTTGCTACTTGTAACGAGGCTTTTCATGATGAGATGCGATATTAACTGTTTGGCTTTGTTTTGTTGTCTTGACTAATCTTGTTTCAAGCTTTAGATGTATGTTGTAAGCCATGAGGTGGACATATGCTGATTTGATCTTTAAAAGTGCTAAACTGTGCTTGTGGTGAATAAGAGAATAAAGCATTATTTAGAATTAATCTTCTTCTTAATCATGTGTATGAGCTCTTACATTGGAAACCTACTGATTTTGCATTTCTGAGATAACACAGAATGATTACAGAAGGCGTATTATTTGGAGAAGTACTCATTATACTGTTCTTATGTTTCCCCAAACCATAAATAAATTAGAGAAATGATTCAACATCATCTTCATCATCAGGACTAAAAATATGGTAGTTTTTTATTAATCACAGGTTCTATTCTACAATTCTAAACTCTAAAAATTTAACTTAGAATGATAGCTAACAGAAAGGAGTAGATGCAGTGCTTTTTGTTGCATTTTATTGAGTTGACTGATTGTGACTGTTAACATTATCTTTACAAGGTTTTTATACCTTGTGTATTTTTGAGTATATTGCTGACCAAATGAATCCTAATAGCATGTTCAGGATGGTAATGTATGCGTTCATTGTTCTGTATTCTTATATGAAGGATGTTTGCAGGCTTGTCTGCTGGAATGTCTGTATTTCTGTCAGCTTGAACACAGAAAACGGTCGATTTAGTGGGGCATGTTATCAATATAGTACTCTAAGTCTTTTGTATTATTGACTGTTCATTCATTAAAAGTTTCTGTATGGCACATACGCTGACAACAGCACAAATTGGAAACAGCATAATGCAAGCTTGATGATACTTTCAAGTTATTACTTATTTAAAGTTCATGTCAAATTTTAGTAAAACTTTCTGATGGTACTTTAGATACGTGTAAAAATGCTGTTTGGTTTATATTTTATGAGGCCTACCTGTTGAGGATAGGTTTATGTTTTCTTACTTGTTAATATTGCAGAAGATGGAATGCTTATTTTTAAAAATGTAGGCAAAATGTGTTTAAATGTACTTGAATATTTTCCCTGTGGAATATTTTTCCACACTTCAGAGATGTTTGTTTAAAAAAAAAAAAAAAAAAACTTTTTTGTGGATTAACCGAAGAATACCTTTCTTTCAGTATCTGACCTTGCCTGAACTACCTGCTGTTGTTGTATTCAAAGATGGAACTTACTTTGTGTATGATGGTAAGTAAAAGTGTACATTACTTTGAAAGAAGATTCTGAAAGCAAATGTGGAGTTGCTTATTTCAAGGCAAGATGAAGCAGTGGGAAGTGCACCAATAATTTTGTGATAAATGACAGCATAGGGAAAAGTTTGATTACTTATGGAATAAAATACATCATTGGAGGAATTGTCTTTATCAATACTGATGTTGAAGTTAAAGTTCACTTTGTGTTAATCATTGAGATGCAGCTTCCAGTAGTATTGTTTTGCCTGCACCAAAGCACTTAAATATTCTCCTTTGCTCACTGTTCAAATCAGAAAGTAGAAGAAAACTTGCTGAAGAGGTGTCACACACTGACGTAAGCTTTGGGGAAATCCAGATACAATGAACAAGAATTTTCATTTCTGATAGGTGACTTTTACTTTTCAAAATATATACTAATGTTTCAGGAATGAGGGCGAGGAGGTACTGTTTGATATATTAATAATTCTGTTTCTTCCTGTTGCCCCCAGAAAATGGGGAAAAAACAAGTGGCATTTTCTCTTTCACACAATGTGTATTTAACTTTCAGCATTTTTTGTATTTTTAGAGTATGAAGATGGTGATTTGTCATCCTGGATAAATCGAGAAAGATTTCAAGGTTATCTTACTGTAGATGGTTTTACATTGTACGAACTTGGAGATACAGGTGAGATGCTGCTATGTTTGAACAGTCATCTCTAAAATTAAACTTATACATTAAGAAAAAGCAAAGAGGAGTAAGAAAGGATACTTTTTTATGAGATAAAATACACAAACAAAAAAAACCCTACTTAATCTGGAAGTTAAGAGTTGATGTCTGACCAACTTCAAAAACAGGAGACCTTCTATATGTACTAGAGGCTTCATCCAAACCCTGTGCTAGACCTTTAATAACAGCATAAAATAAGTATGTCTAATTTTGTAGTATTCACAAAAATTGAGCAAGGGTTTCAATTTAACAATGATTTAGGTTTTTTATAAATCATAAATTCTTGAAAAACCATCAGAATTTTATAAACAGTTTTTGAAATGTCAGATATGGATGGACTTATTCAGGTAAGTATGTTATATAATTTTGTCAGATAGTAGCTAATTCAAGTATCTTTAGAGTAGATATGGTGAGGTAGGGAGATGAATGTCTATTGAAATGGACCTGTCCCAGAATACTTCTGTGTTCAGTGAAATTTCTTAGAAGACGAATGAAAACTTTGCATCCAAGTAACTTCAGTATTGCTCTTAGAGTATTTATATGCTTAGGAAGCCGTGGATATACTGTTTTTTTGTTGTTTTTGTTTTTTTTTCCCTCCAGGTCAGGGTAATTTATAATCTACCTCCCATTTAAAAACAAGTTTATACTCGATGTTGCGTTGGTTTCTTCAAAGTTCTATAGATACAGAATGCCTGGGTTCTCACATGTTTGTCAAAGTAATGTTATATTTCAAAAAGGCATTTACTGAAGTGCTGTTACAAATTGTCCAGATATTGGCATATATTCTATCTGAAAATGCAATTTCTTTTTAAGTGGCTTCAAGTACTGTATTCCTTTTTTAGGAAAACTTGTGGCTATTGCAGTAATTGATGACAAAAACTCTTCAGTGGAACATACGAGGTACGTAGTTGAGTACCGATGACATGGAGAAATGTGGTGGTATGGTGGAGAACTAATTCATTGAGTTATAAAATCTTGACGCTTTCTGGAAATTCCTTAAAAATTCAGAAATTCTAGACTAAATGAAAAGTCTTAACTTAATATTACGTTCTCTAGATTGTGACATCATTATGACTTTGTTTATAGCCCTGTTGAAGTCCATATAGTTTTAAAGGGAGAATTTCAATGAGATCACATGAACAGTGATTGCATAGTTCTTTAAGATATTGTGTCACTTTCTTAAAATCTTGTGAACTCAAATACCCTCACTTTTCTAATATGAAAGAGAGTACTTGCGTTCAGATGATTTTAAGATAAACTTATTAATTTTAAACAAAAGGCTGCTCTTCCTTCAGCTGCATTAAAATGAACTTAGTGATGCATAGCTATTAATTGTGTGCAGAACTTCCTTGAAAATATTCTTTCTTAATATGAGTCAGAATTTGCTAGAGACTGGAAGAACAAGACTTTTTTCTGTTACATATGATTGTATATGTAAGCTAAGAAAATATTGTTCAAGTAGTGTATATACAATTTTGACAGATCATCTTTGGATTTTCTTCAAGTTCACAGTGTCATATGTTCAGATGATAATAGATGAAGCAAAGCAGTCTGACACACTTTTTCTCATATTGACACTGTATGCTAGATTGCCTTTCAACCTTTAAAATCAAGGAAGATGAACAAAGTGTGTTTTTGTTGATCAAGTAGGCAAATGTTATTGCGTATGGGATGCTATTTGCTACTTAGTGAGAAAATCTAAATGTTTGAATTTTGACAAAGTATATCTTGGATTGACTGGTTTTTTTGTTGGTTTTTTTCTGTCTCCAGACTGAAATCAATTATTCAGGAAGTTGCAAGAGATTATCGGGATCACTTTCACAGGTGTGCACACATTTCTACAATAGCTTAAATGAACTTCTGCACTAACCTTTCTAAGGCAGCAATTACTTTTCTTTTTTCTACCTGAGAAATGGTGTAGTGTTTTTTAACTGTACACTGATATTAGTTGACTGTTTCATTAACTGAGTGTGTTTTGCATAGCTGATTGTGCTGTAACATTGCTTTTTTTTTTTTTTTTGCATTATAATGCTGATTGTGTACTTCAGTTACAAGAAAAAATATTTAGGACAAACTTATTTTAATGCTGAGACTCATTACTCCTTTTTGTGTGTTTTATAATGTTTTTCATTGCATTTCTTACAGGGACTTCCAGTTTGGCCATATGGATGGAAATGATTACATCAATAGCTTATTGATGGAGTAAGTACATGTGTATTTCATATAATCATAGAATGGTTTGGGTTGGAAGAGACCTTTAAGATCATCTAGTTCCTATCCTGCTGCTATAGGCAGGGACACCTCCCATTACACCAGGTGCTCAAAGTCCCATTCAGCCTGGCCTTCAATGCTTCCAGGGTGGGAGCATCCACAACCTCACTGGGCAACTTGTTCTAGTATCTCACAACCTGCACAGTTAAGAACTTCTTGATATTTAGTCTAAATCTACTCTCTTCCAGTTTAGTCTCTTACTGGCCTTATAAGAAATACCTCCCCAGCTTTCCTGTAGGCCCCCTTCAGGTACTGGAAGCCTACTATGTAAGGTCTCCCCACAGTCTTCTCCAGTCTGAAGAGCCCCAGCTCTCTCAGCCTGTCCTCATAGAGCACATGTTCTAGCCCCCTGATCAAGGTTATGGCTCTCTTTTGGATCTGCTCCAACAACTCCATGTCCTTTTATTGGAGGCTCCAGAACTGGATGCTGTGCTTCAGGTGGTGTCTCACAAAAGCAGAGTGGAGTTGGCAGAATCACTTTGCTCGGCCTGCTGCTCACACTTCTGATGCAGCCCAGGATGCGATTGGCCTTCTGGGCTGCAAGCGCATGTTGCTGGCTTATGTTGTATCTTCATCAGTCGACACTCCCAAATCCTTCTCATTCTGTGCCTAACATGCATCTGTGCTTAGGATTGCCCCAACCCAGGTGCAGGGGCTTGCATTTGACCTTGTTGAGCTTAAAGAGATTGGCATCAGCCCACCTTTCAAGCTTGTTCAGGGCCCTCTGGATGGCATCACTTCCCCCTAGTGTGTCAGCATTTCAGTATTTTTTTCTCTTGTGGTTGTTGCTATTGTATTTAACTTAAAACAGTCATCTGAAGAATTCCTGCCTTTTTGAATTAAAAAAAAAAAAATCACTGTCCTCAGAAATATAGTATCATTTGTTAAATTAAAGCTGCATAATTTAATTTTAGAGGTTTGTCTTACTGGTAGTGCTGATTGACAGAGTTTATCTTTTTAGGTTTACCTAATAAAGCACTCTATTAGAACTGTATGTTGTGTTTTTTTTTCTGTCATTGGTTAAATTTACAGCATGTTATCAAAATTAGAAGTTTTATGTTTCCTGTTAGAAATTTGTTTTACTCTAGCCATGGTTTGTTCTTTTTTTTTTTTTATTTCTGGAAAGGCATATTTTATTCTTACTAGGGCATTTTCAAAACTGAAGCTTGTTGAAATGTAGCTTGCTTTATGTGCCCTTACTTTCTAAAAAGCAGTTGAGGAATAAAGTACAGTATTTGCCAGTGGTTGTGTGAGAGATCTTCCTAAAAACAGAGACAGGTATCTATTACCATTTTAGAAGCTGGCATTGAAATATCACTTAGCAGACACCATGAATTCATGTTTTCACCATGGATTTGTAGAGCTGAAATGCAGAGATACGTGTACCTGCATGAAATGTGTAAAAGATGCTGTCTATCTGCTTATGGGGTATGTACTTAATAGCTTTTGAAATATACAAGTAACCTAACAAAACGCTTAATGTTTGTCCTTGCTTTGCAAAGATCTGTCACCAGGGAGTTCAGTTGCTTGGTGTTTACTGTTGACTTGTTCTTGTCTGGCCTTCTAAATGAAGGAAGAGCACAACAGGAATAAATATGCCAGCTTTGCACTGGAGGAGTTCCTTTCTTGTTGATCGAAGCACACACTATGAGCAAGTAGTCTGCAGTATCCATCTTCCATAGTGTCTGTCTTATATCTGTCTGGTCTTGTAGCTCTTGTGGATGCTAGATCTAAGGCCACAAGATGTCTACAAGGTCAAGAGTAAGAAAACTAGATAGATGTGCAAATGCTTTAATTTAAAACTGTGCCACTAAAAGTTCTAGGAGATCCATGAGGACTTCAGAAGTACTAGTAAGTATTTCTGTGAAATGCCTCTAGATTCGTTTTAGTATCTGAGTACAAGTAATTTGAAAACATTTGTCATCAGTTGGAGTAAAATATTATTGGTTCAGTGCTTTCTGATTGCCAAAAAAAGAGACCTTCCACTTTTCATTATTTCCTTTCCTGTGTGGCTTTTTCAGTTTATCTGGCATAAATTTGCTCCATTTTTCTGTTTAAGAGGGTAGGAGAGGTATTTTTTTGATGCAACAAAAACCTAACTGTTTTTTAACTCAGCGCACACTCTGCTGAGCACTGGAATTGATGTGCACAGAAGCTAGGGAGGTAGATGAGTTCCCTGGGATAAAAAAAAAAAAAAAAGAAGGGGAAGAACAAGTGTTATTTACAGCAGTAGTGATCTGGTAATAATTGTTAGATCTGTTCAGTTGGATTATTTAACTTAATCTACAAAATGCCTAAATTTATCATTTGTTGTATATGAAAAGCTGCTGTTGAACTATTTGCAGACTTTTAGTTTATTTCCTAAAGGAAACATGCATTTCCAGTATAACTGGAAATCAGCAAAATACACTGAAGAGAAGTATTTGCTGTTTACATGATTGCCCAAATATTTTGAGTAAAATGATATTGTCGGGCCTTCAATTTTCCACTAGGTGGCAGCAAGAGAAAACAGGTAGAAAAAGCCTCTTGAAACAGGAGAAATCTATTACAGAATGTTTTATTCTTCCACAATAACAATAAATACCCTTCCTTGACAAAGGACAAAATAATTCTACCAGTTGTCCCTATTAGAAATAGACTTGCAGACTTAGATGTAGAATCATAGAATGGGTTGGGTTGGAGGGGACCCCAAGGATCAAAAAGTTCCAATGCCCCTGCCACAGGCAGGGTCATGAGCCTTCAGATCTGATATTAGACCATGTAATTCCACTAATAGTTAGTGCCATTTATCTCTGTCTTCAGCAATGGAAGAGAATGCTTCTGTTGAGTTAAAAAATGATAGTACTTAGAAGTGTGCACAAAAGAAGAAAGTAGTATATTTATGTATTTCATTGAAATATTCCTCATAATTCATATACGTATTTGTGGAAGGTGAGGTATAGAACAACTTTATAACATCAACTGAAGGTGTCTGTACATCTTTATTTCTCAGCTCTTGTAATAACCCAAGTGAGCATGTGACTATGAATTCCAGGATAGCATATAAATTTTATATATCAAGTTTAATTTTTAATTGCTTTTCAGACAGCTCCAAAAATTTAACTACCAAACTGTTAAATGTGTTTCACTGTTTTTGGTGCTTTATTTTTCCATTATGGGTGGGAAGTGGTTTACACTGCTTAGTATCAATTTCTCTTCCATATCTAAATAGTGAAACTTATTTTGATTATGTCCAGAGTGATGCATTTTGGCAGCAGTTGAGAAGTTGTAATCAAGCACTTGATTTGATTGACTCCTTACTTATATTACTCAATTATTTCTAATAAATAGAGAATAAAAATGTGTAGGGGGAAAACTTATTTAGAAAATCCTGTTGCAAGCTTTCACTGTTGACAAAGCTGTTTTTTTTTTTTTTCCAAGTATATTCAGAAAGATGAAATTATTTTGTTATCTCTAGTAGGTCTTATTTCTTCTGAGGTGTGTCGTGCTTTAAACTTGAATTCTAGGAATATGGTCTCAGCCTTAAATCCTAGAGTTTTCTAGGAGCTTAACGTTTTCATGGATAAATATTAAAG